TGAGATGCCTGTCAATCACTCTGGGTTCTACCGGCTACACAGACACCAGGAGCCAAATGGGGATCAGAGGGTCAGTTTCATTAAAGCTAGTGTAGGATTGGGGAGTGCAGGCCAAAATGGGGCCTCCTCATCCCTCCCCGCCAGAGTGAAGGTAGCCAGCCCCTAGAGGAAGGTAATAAACCTGACAACCACCCAGCAACCGGTTTTGCAATCAGAGCAGCTGAACCAGAAAGAACAGAGACCTGGCTGGGCCTGCCCCAAGCAGACTGGACCTGGTGTGCTTTCCACAGAGCCTGGAAGCACAAAGTAGCTCTCCTCTCCACCCCCGGGGCACACGAGTAGCAAGGCTGCAGGAGACAAGAGAGGGCAAGAGATGAGGCAAGCACCTGCCCATGGATTTAAAAAAAAAAAAAAAAGCATCCTAATGGATAGATGGCCAGGGCCTTGAAGAAAACAGGCTCCCCTGGAGAGAAGCAAGTTAATGGGTGAATGGAGAAAGCAACCAGAAATGTTCACTCTAATGTCACCCCCATCCACCTCCCGTATAATGGAGGAGAGGCCCATCACTTCCATACAGACACAGGCGGAAGCATCGTTCTCCTCAACACATTCTCTCACCTAACCCCAAAGCAACCCTGTGAAGTATGCCCTATAAATGTTTAAGGTGTTAAGATGAAGTAAATGCCTAAGAACTAAAATAGTCAGATGAGGTTTACTGGGGAGTAAGATGAGCAGGGGGCAGAGGATGACATATACCGTCTGTTAACAAAAAAAAAATACTTTCTCTAGGAAATTCTAAACTACTTGTGCAGAGATGGACTTCAGATCTATTTTAGAGTTTAAAGAAGAGGGAACTAATATTTACAATAATTTGAACACTCCAAAGGCCTTTCAAGTCTTTGAATTCTATCATGTACAGTATTTCTTTCTCCCACTGCATGATTAAGGTTTTGATCTTGATATGCAACAAAGCCCAAGAGAGTTCAAAGAGGATTGTTCACAAAAATAAAAGCCAAGAGGCATCGATATTAATAAAACTAAACTAAAAAGATACTTAATAACCTTTGCGAAATTAAAAATAATGACTAATTCAATCCAAACAACTAGGTCATGCTCAAATTCCAGGAACTCTAAAACTGAGATATAATAAGGCAAGAATTTTGCTTTGCTTCAGTGGTCAAAATGAAGGGCCCATTCAAGGGAAAGACCAGTCATAGGGTCACAATGGGGACACCAGAGGGACATTCAGGGGACAGGGGAGGGAAGCTGGCACACAGGACAAAGCAAGATGATCACTAGTGTACCACCTGGGAATTTGACAGAGTATGTGAATAACAAAGAAAAAAAGATGTTTCTCACAAAAGACCAATCAGTCAGCAAACATCTGAGAGACTCTTATAGAAGCTACAAAGCCTCAGCATGTCTCCTGCCCGGAGGAGGCAAGAGAGCAACTTAATCAAAGAGATATGATGACACACACAAACACCAACAGAACAAGGTAAAATATGCTGGGAACCTCAGAGAGGTATGCAGTGTGCGAGACACTGAACAAGGGCAAAAGGCATTCGACTTGGGAGACAGACGTGGGAAGGCATTGAGCAACTGAGTGAATCAAAGAGACCAAATATAAAGAAGACCACATAAGAATTCTCTGTCTTCTGCTTTAGCCTGCTTCCTAATTATTTGTACAAATGATCTTTAACAATTTGGAGAGTAGGATATTTAGTGAAAAACCACATTCAACACAAGTTCAACACACTAAGACGCACTCTTCCAATATGAAAACACACAGCATTTGTTCAGCCACTTAAATGGAATATCAAAGCACTAGAACCTTGCTGCAGACTTGTGTCCCAGCCTTCATGTCTTACTCAATATACCACACATCATCCAACCTCAGGAGTACTCAGCTTTGCTGGTTTAGAGGTCATATTGGTAGAAAAGAACACAAGCATAAATAAATATCCCACAAGAAGAAACTTATTCTAGGACAAGAGCATCAGGCCAAGTGACGAGGAGGGAAGCCTGGCTCTAGGAAGCTGGCGGTGCAGTCAGTACCCACAGAGAGCAAGCCAACTCACACACCTGACATCTAGGCTCCATCACAGGCCTCCCTGGGGTTTCCAAAATCATCTCCTGTCACTCAACCCATTCATCTTAACTATGATAAACAGGTAATCTCTCTGACAACGTGATTAGATCTTTTTTACAAAAACTTTTAAAACCAAATGGTTATTGGCTAAGAGTTTTCCAAAACATTGCATTTCTTTTGTAAACCAAAATCAGAAAAGAGACATCTAGGATTATACTTCCCTAAGCCGAGCTCAGGCCAGAAAATTCAATGTCCTATTGACAATGGCAGGGCCAAAACAGGCTTTTCACAAAAAAAACTTTTAAAGGTGTTAATGCAACTTTATGTTTATTTTGTATAAAATCAAAGGAGATACTAATTTGCTATTTAATCTTAATGTCCCAAAGTTGAAAAAATTAAAACTCCAGTTTTTTTCCATTATTGTATAAAAAATTGTTAGTTTACAGGAGAACTTGACACTTAATAACATGTAAAACTAAGTAACCAACTTTTTTAATGTCTCTAAAAAGCAAAATGTCTTCTTAAAAACACAAAAGGCTACCGACAGATTCAAAGGTTTCTGCTGAATTAAAATATATTTTAATAATCTAGGGACTCGATGAACAGATTTTTAAATGTATGCCCTAACTAATTGAACACTCAACATTGTAATTCTGTTCCTACATCACTTTTCAGGTTTTATTATTTTATCCCTTCCCAAATCTTTCAGAATTATAAGTTATTAATAAATGATAGCTATGACAGAAAAATATGAAAGAGGAAAATGTGTTTTTTCCCCATTTTCCTTTTTAATTTATTTTTTATTTTTTTTTAGTGAGGTATATTTGACATACATTATATTACTTTCAGGTGTACAACATAATGATTCTATATTTGTGCATATATTGTGAAATGATCACCACAAGAAGTCTAGTTAACATCCATCACCTACATAGTTACTTCATTGTCATCTTAATGTAATGAATGTGCTATAACCATCTTTTTCAACTACTCTGTGCCCTTTGCTACTTTCGGAATACAATCCTAAACGAAGCAAAAAAGGTAACTTATTTCTCTGACCATAAATAAGACAGAAATGTACAGTCTATATCATAAAAACAACTGATGATTTATTCCTTCTCGATATGTAAGATAATCTGACCATTTTCAACCATTTATTTGTTTTTTATGTTGAAAAAAATTGTCTCTTCCTCAAATCCTGGATTGCACACCAGGTGTGCTTCCTTTGAAAGACAAATACACAAAACAATAGCAAGAGAATGGGGTCATTTCTGCATCTGGGGACAAGCTTGTTTGTGGAATTTATGACTGTTAAAAATAAAAAATAAAGAGGTTAGAAAAAAAATTCGAGCCTCATTGTTTACTTCTCAAAGTTCTTGGAATTCTTCTCACAGTTCTTTACTTGTTCAATAACCTATGTCTTTCCCTTTGTTGTTAATAACATCAGTTTTATTAACGCTCTACCTTTGGATTAAGAACTGGCTTTAGGTAGCCTTCAATAAGCTACTCTGTGAATATGTAACTGTCAACCACTTTATTCAACTGAGTAACACAACAGAGAAGTATTTGCTTTCATGAATAAAATACAATGGCAAATACATAGCAAACTGGAGTCTACCAAGTCACGGACTGTGACAAGACACCAGATAATCAGACAGAATGGATGGCTCAGTTGACTGGTAACCGAATATGGCGGCTTTTTTCAAACTGAAGAATTAAACAGCCTAGATCTAGGGCAACAGGAAGATGTTACCTTTGGAAATACTGGTGTCCAATTCCTTCCCTATTACGAGCCGCACTGAGACTAGGACAAAGATCACAGTGGCATGCAGGCTTCCATTTCATCATTGCTCGATGTACCCTGGGGATGGGAGACTGAGGGGATAAACTGGCAATGATGCTATCATTGGGTCTGTCCTTAGAACACCTGGAATGTTGTTTACCACGCCTGCTCCACAAAAATCAGATTTGTTTAAAGAATCGCTCCAAAGAGTAAAGAAATTGACACATTCCCAACTAAAGACTCAAGATACCAATTAACCAGGCTCAAAAAATCCCAACTAATCCTGGAATTCTCCCACTCACCTATAATGGTTTAAAAATGGAAAGAAAAAAAAATGTGTTGGAAAACACTCCCCAAAAGAGAAAACATTCTTGTCACTTTTGGTCCCTTCCATCTCTTACAAAGTACTTCCAAAAATCTCCACTCCCTAACACTTACCAAAAACCAAACCTTAAGACAACTGTAAAGCACAAAATTGCCAGGGCATACCCAAGGAAACTCCCCTCAGAGACTTCAGTAATCTCTCTTTCACGCCCTAGAGTGCGCCGGCTGAGACAGCCACCCCAGGATTTAGTCATGCATTACAGACTGAAATTTTTGTCTTTACCCTGATTACAAAATGTTCTTCTCTGGAATTTCTTAAGAAAACAGCAATAATTTTTACTTTACGATCACACTCTGAATTTAAAAAAAAGAACATGACAATAGACATCTCAAACTCAGAGCACCCCTTCCAGATGTGTCTAACACGCATTATAACCCAGACTTAGCAAGAGGCTAACGTCAGACACGATCCATCTTCTGTCCAACCATCTGAAATTTCCTTCCATGAAAGGTGGGCTAAATCGGGAAGAGGGAAGGGAGATACAAAATGTTTTGTCTGGAAACCACTTTGGAAGTCTGAGTCTTTCTATTAGGAGTGTCTGATTCTTGGGACTGCATCTCATATTGCTTATATACTTACTGCCTTTGGCTTGTCCCCAAATCTCCCCGTATCTATCTTGAAAAGCTTTCCTGGGGAGGCTATAAGGTCAAGCCAATAATCTGCCAAATGGGAAACAAATATCTTCAAAAAATGCATCTTAAAACACACCACAGAAGTGCCACGTCCCTCTCTCCGCTTACCTGGGAAAGCATGTGGATTGGGCGACCCTCTCTTAAGGCACTTAGAACAGAGAATGTGCACGGTGTAGTGCAGTCCAGGCCATTCCTGAAGTAGGACGTTCAGCTCCTCCACCAACGGGGTTATGGCTTGCCATGCCGTCCATATGTTTGGTAATGATGCATGGCTGGCAATGGACAGAGTGTCTGGCTGCAAGACCCCCTTGGCAGGTCTGTAACTCACCACCACAGGAACTTTCCCTCGATAGGCAAAGATCTGAAGTTTCCCATCCGACCTGTGCACCACATGGCTGTTGATCTGGACACTGTAGCGTGCAAACAACCCAGGTGGGAAGGTAAAGGGAAAACTATATTCAATCTGCAGCTGCTCAGCCACAAAAGACTGCCCGGCCAGGTTGGTCCCATTAATCCAGGCCTCTGCATGGGGCACCTCGTTCTGCACATAGCATGGGAACTTGTACCAGGCCCTGGACCCATTCAAAGGCTTGCCCTTGGGTTTATTGAGGCAGTAACAGAGTCCCATTTTCTCCAGCAGCTCCAGCAGCAGCTGCAAGTCCTGCTGGGCCTGGACATGAGGCTTAAGCAGCAACCGAATGACATGGGCTGGCAAGAGCCCATGGAGCAGAAAGCCCTCCACATAATGATGGAGCTGGGTGGCCCGGAGCAGGTCCTGGCTCGGGGTGGGCAGCGCCATCAGTGGGGAGCTTTCCCCCTCGCCCTCACCCTCTCCGCTGGTCCCTAGCAGCAGCTTATGCAGCAGCAAGGAAGGATCCCTCTGGAAAAAGACATTGAGGATGTCGATGAGGCGGGTGAGGTTGTGGAAGACGTGCTCCTTGAGGGCCGGGCTGTCCTCAAAGTAGAGCAGCTTGCCGCTCTCGTGCAGGTAAGAGAGGGCACTCTGCAGCCGGTCCTCCGTCAGACCCGCCTGCAGGCCCAGGCGCGCCGAGTCCCACCAGCTTAGCCAGAGCCGTTGCGCCTGAGGTGGCTGGAAATGCAGTTCCTCCAGCACCTGCCAGGATCGAGGCAGTACTCTGTGTAAGTTGGGGAAGATTTCCCGGTGCTCAGCTACTGAGAGCAGTTTGTCCCGCAGGCGCCGTAACTGGCGGGGGTCCCTGCAGCTAACAGGCAACACTGGAGAGAGAATCTGCAGCCGGTGGTTGAGCAAGTACTGAAAATGGGCCTTGCGCCGCCGAAGGTTCTTGTCCGAAACACCATAGTAGGCTGCGTGGGGGCTGGCAGAGCGCAGCTCAAAGTCCCTGGCCAGTGCCTCGTCCACCACCTGGGCCAGACGGCTCAGCCCCTCCGCGTCGTGCTTCTCCTGCAGGGCGATCTGGCGGTGGATGTCCAGACACTTCTCCTCCAGCTCCCGCTCACCGCACAGGTCTGCGTGCGTGCCCACAATGCACACCACGGCGTGAGGCACCCGGGCCCCCACCCGATGCAAGAAGGAGCCCACGGTGGTGCGAAAGCGCGGTGGCTCATAGGTGGCCAAGTTCACCACCAGCACATAGAGGGCTCCCGGGGAGAGGAAGAAGGGCTGGATCACCTCATAACTTTCGTCACCAGCTAAGTCGTACACGATGAACCGCAGGCCGCGGGAAGCATCAGCAGTCCAGCTAGTCACCTCGATGCCCTTGCTCACGGGAGGAGGTGAAGGCGGGTAGCTCTTCTCCTTGTCCCCTCCGCCCTGGCTTCCCTCCACTCTCTCCTCGGTGAGGCAGTGGCGGAGCAAGGTCTTTCCTGCACCCTTGTGGCCCATCAGGAGCAGCTTGAGGCGGGGCTGCACTGCCGGCTGGGAATGAGCCAGCTCCTTCTGGTAGGCTGCGATGTAGGGAATCCCCTTCATACAGACCTCGTAGGGGGGCTGGATCAGTGGGTTGTCCTTGATCTTCCACAGGCCCACCCGGGAGAGCTGGCCAAAGTTGTCTGGCAGCACGGCGATCTGGTTCCCCTGCAGCACTAGCTCCTCCAGACCCGTGAGCTCCACGATAGAGTCGGGTAGGTAGCGGATCCGGTTATTATCCAGCCACAGGGTGAGAAGCCGGCCCAGGCCCGAGATAAGGGATGGCACTGAGGTGAGCTGGTTGCGACTAAGGTAGAGCTCCTCCAGACCAGCCAGGGGCAGCAGCGCGGCAGGGAACTCCTCAAAGAGGTTGGAGGAGAGATTGAGCATTTTGAGCCGCTGCAGACGGCTGAACTGGGCGGGCAGAGCCTGCAGCCCGTTGTTATCTAGCATGAGGCTCTCCAGGCTGGCCAGCTCACAGAAGCCGCTGGGCAGGGTGCCAAGCTCAGCCCCACTCAGCCAGAGGATCTTGAGGGCACGCAGGGCACTGATATCCTCAGGTAGGCCCCGCAGCCGGTTGCTGGACACGTCCAGCTCCTCCAGGGCCGCCAGCTGCAGCAGCTGCCGGGGAAAAGCAGTGAGCTGGTTGTGGTCCACGTCGAGGGTGCGCAGGCGGTAGAGGCAGGACAGGGAGTCGGGCAGGTGCGCCAGCCTGTTAAAGCTGACATCCAGCTCCTCCAGGTGGGCAAGGGCGCCCAGCTGCGCGGGCAGGGCGGGCAGCTGGTTGTGGCTGAGGTTGAGCTTGCGCAGCTCCCGCAGGGCACTCACCACCTCCGCGCCCAGGGCGGTCAGCCGGTTGTGGCTCACGTCCAGCTCGGTGAGGTGGTGGCCCAACTCGGCCACCGCCGGGGGCAGCCGGGCGAAGCGGTTCCTGCGCAGGATCAGGACGCGCAGGCTGCCCAGCGCCGACCCCAGCCCGTCGGGCAGCTCCTCCAGGCCGTTGTTGCCCAGGTTCAGCACCTCAATGTCCCCGATGTTGGCCGGCAGCACGAGCTGGGGGGCGTCGGGGGAGTCGATCTGGTCGGCCCCGGCCGCGCTGAGGGTGAGCTGGCGCAGGTTGCTCCGCAGCTTCCTGGCGCGCAGGGCGGCGTCCCGCCACAGCCTCACCGTCTTCAGGTTCCCACTGTCCTTTCCAGCCATGGCGGGGCCCCGGGCCGACACCCTCGCGCGGGCGCGGGAGCCCGCAGCTACATGCCGCGCTGCGCCCGGGCGGGCGCCAGTCTGCGGGGCCCTCTCGCTCGCGCTCCTCCTTTCCCACCGCCCCTCGGCGACCGGCGGCTGGGGGTCC